CCTGCTGCTGCTGCTGTTGCTGCTGCTGCTGGTGCTGTTGTTGCTGCTGCTGGTGCTGGTGCTGCTGCCTCAGGGCTTCCTGGTCCGCATCGTCGGCGGACCAAGCGCTGGTGCTGAGGTTGGAGGCCGAGGCCGTCCGCGCCATCGTCTCCCCACCCCGTCCCGGCACCTGTGGGCCAGCCGCATCGCTCGGCACCGCGATCGAGCGGCGCTTGTTGGCGGACACGGCCGAGGTGGATGCGGAGCGCGCCATGGTCGTCTGGGCCAGCGTGCGCTTCCTGGCCGAGATGCCGACGCTGGCCTTTTCATTGGGCTCGGGCGAGACGGAGCGCGCAATGTGCAGGCCGTCCGACGTGGGGCCCTGCTCCGACTCCGACCAGCCGTCGAGCGTCGAGACGCCCACCGTCATGGGCGTGTCCATGTCGACCTTTGCCTCGCGCATCTTTTCCTCCTCCCTGGCGATGCGGTACACGTCCATCAGCAGGCTGACCTTGTCGGCCTTGATGAGCGCCACCACCTCGGCCGTGGCCAGCTGGAGGCGCGCCACCTGCACCTTGGGCGACCGCAGGATGGTGAGCAGCAGCGAGTGCCTCTCTGGCTTCATCAGATGGTCGGGCTCCTTGTGTCGGACGCCGTCGGGCCACCAGCTCGGCTTGCCCTCCTCGCCCTTGTTGTACGGGCACCGCGTCTGCTTTTTGGGCTCGATGATCTTGATCCAGGCTTTGGCCACCGTCTTGCACACGCCCTGCTGCAGCTGGCCGAAGCGCAGCTCGAGAAAGGCGGTTCGCGACGCCTCGTTCTCGAGGCGGATCTCAAACTGCGGCGGGTGGCTGTTGGAGGCAGTGCGAGACAGACCCAGTCGAGACTGGTGCGGCGTCGAGGTGCGCGGCCCGCTCAGCAGCGCGTCGCGGAACTCGTTGGACGGCAGCGGGGCAGACTTGGGCGGCTGGGCAAGCTCGCCGAGGTTGGCGGTGGCGACGGCCAGCGACCCGCGGCGCGTGTTGGTGGCGCCCTCGCCGCCGTCGTTGGCGCCTTCCTTTGAACGCAGGTAGAGGTTGTTGGCCATGCCCGTATCGAGCGGTGCAATGGCCTTGCGGTGCGACCGGAAGGCCCTCTCGAGCTTCGACGAGCCAGCGGCAGACCGTTTCCCCGCGGTGCTGCTGCTGTCGAGGAAAGGGTCGTCGCTGGCTGTTGCCGACAGCTGGAAGGCATGCCGTTCCGGCGACGGGGAGGCGCGCTGATCCGGCGAGTCGTCGTCCTCGTACTGTTCGTCGTCGTCGTCTTCACCGCCGTCGGAAAGCTCCCCGCGCCGGAGGCCGCTCGACTCGCCCTCGTTGGACGGGCTTGCCTCGCTGTGGTTGGTCGTGCCCGTGACGAGGTCTTTTGCCTCTTCGGCGATGCCCCCCTTCACGAACCAGTCGTCGAGCCGGCTCTGGAGCGCCTCGCTGGCGTAGGTCTCGACGTCGCCGCGTGCCGAGACCCACATGATGGCAAAGTGGCTGCCATTGATGTAGGCGGCCTTGCCCAGCGCCCTCAGCACCTGGTCGCGCTTGTTCTTGTAGTGCCGGTGCTGTCGTGACGGCGAGCTATACGGCTCCACGCGGACTGGGATCCTGGGCATCTTGCCTCGTGCCCGCGAGCTCGTGGGGCGGCGGCAGCGGTGTCAAGAGGGTGACGACGAGACGGGGTCAGGAAGCAAAAGAAGCGCGTGCGAGAGGCTGGCGAGGTATCGACGCCCGAGGTGTTCGCGAGCTTCGAAGCTGGCGAGGTCCCGTTGCGCTTCGCGGTGGGTCGCGTCTGTCGAAGGTGGCGAGCAGGCGTGCGTGGGTATTCGCGGGGAGGCGGCAGCGACGGTCCGCGAGGTGAGAGCGAATTGCGGCCCGGCTGACGAGATCTGAGACAGCGCAATGTGGATGGCGGTCGGCGGAGAGGGATATGGGACCGGGCCTGATGGTTGGGACAAGATGGCGATGATGTGGAAGCAAGGAAAGATGGAGATGATGGGTCAGAGAGGAGACAAGTGAGGGAGGTCAACCGTCAGGACAGGCCGTGGTTGGCCTCGTCATCTGGAAAGCGCAGAGGGCGGTAGTCGTTTTGTTGTTTGGGCGCCATCAGCAAGACGGATCAACAGGCAGGGCGAGGGGTTGAGATCGACGGCCTGCGCGTGCGAGGGGACCAAGAGCGGCAGGCGCAGGCGCAGGGGCACGGACGGACGGCGGACGAGGATCGATGGGCCACCCGCCGCCGCCGCCGCCTTGCTCGCGGCTGCCTTCGCCACCGCTGTTGACGGCATCGGTGGAGCGGGAGAACGGGGAGACAGGGAGAGAGGGGGGAAGGCCTCGTGCCTCTCTGCAAGCTAAGGCCGCCAGTGGCATTCCTGGCCGTGGAGCTCGACGCAGCCGAATGCGCGCCCTCATGAACGCAGAGGATGCTGATCCTAGCCTTTTGTCCAACGTGTGCGGGTCGCGAGCCCGCCAAAACGCCGGCCTGCACGCAGCAGCGGAAAGAGTGCCAACCCTGACAGGTGATGGTGGATCGCGCGCTTTCAGTTCTGGCGGAGATTCCAGGCGGGAGCGGCATGTGCTAAGAAGCAGAAGAGGGGGCGGGGGAGGAAGAGGGCCCCCCCTCGAGTGCCTGCCACTGCAGCCGTCCGGGTCGAAGGGCAGAGGTATGGGCTCTGCTTGCAGGAGGGGGCGCCGGTATAGGGGAGGGTAAGCAGGGGTTGCGTCGAGCATCGCAGCGGGTTAGCGTCCGTCGCACGATGCTTTGCCATCCCGAACCTTTCATGCGACCAATTGGGCCGCAGAGCTTCCTTCCAGCTCGCTCGCCATCTCTTGTCTGGTCAGGGAGCGACAAACAAGGGCAAGGTGGCCCCGGCCTCGGTCGAGAGCCTGGCCTATGTCTACCCGAATGTCGGCACAGGTTTCGGCATCACGGGCGAGCAGCTCGGGGCTTGGCAACATCCGAGTCGAGGTCGAGCCCGGATTCGAGGTCGATTTGGAGCAAAGCAGGAGCAAGCAAGCAGGCGGATCAAGCGGTCGCGGAAGGCCTCGACGCGGTGCGAGCGATTGCAACCAGCATCGATGCAGGCAAGGGTCGCTAAGGTTGGGTGGAACGAGGCGAAGAGGCATGTGTATTGCCGGCAACGGCGGCGGCGCGGGCGGTAGGGCCCTGTACGATGGCGAGCAAAAGAGGGGCCAAGGTGCAGAGGGGCCAGCCAGCAAGCCCGGCGGTACAGGGGGCGTCGATCTGAAGGCGATGGAAGGTAAGAGGGGGCCAAGGGAGAGAGAGCGAGAGAGACGAGGGAGAGAGAGAGAAACAGGAAGTGGAATGAGCCTTGCAGCTGTCGCTGTCGCTGTGGCTGTGGCTGTCTGTGCTGCTTGCCGTCGGCCAGCGAGCCAGCGAGCCAGCCACGTCAGGTCAGGGCTCAACCCTTCCTGACAGCCGGCATGCAGCTCGCCCCGCAGCACCCGCAGGCCCAAGCCGACAGCCACAGCCCGATGGAAAATTCAAATGAGCAGGTCCCCCGATCCTGCGGGTCCGGATCAGCCTAGCCCAGCTTGGCCCAGCCTGGCCTGGCCTGGCCTGCCTGCTGGTGTGGCCTGGCCTGCCGCATCGACCTCGTCGACCTGCCGCCGGCAGACGGACTCTCGAACATATCCAGCGATCCCTCGGCCTGCCTGTTTGCTCGCCTTCCGAGTCTTGTCAAGGGACAGCCGCGCAGGATAAGGGTATCTGTGCACCCCAGCAGCGCGTGGCCCGCTCATCGCGGATAAGGGCAGATGGTCTCGATGTGCGAGGAGAGGGAACTGCAAAGACGGGCTACGGCGAGGAGGGCAGACGTCGGCCGTGCACGGTCTTCGCGTGTCCAACGTATCAAGCTCGAGAAGTCGGCGTTCGGGCTTGTACAAAGCAGGTCGGCTCTGACGATTCGACGAGCAAGCCAGACGCAGAAGAGTGGAGACCACAGCGGTGTGCGATTTCCCTCGTAAATTCATCGCCCTTTTCGCCCGGAGGCTGGCTCGCTGTGTCTGCGGTCTGTCTGACCCACCGACCTACCACCACCGGCCCAGCCACACCACCGTCTTTAACCGCTCCCAGCCCATCCTTCGTATCCGCCCGAGGAGGGATGCATCGCTCTCGGCGCGGACCGACCACCACGCCGTGTGCCATGTCGGAGAGAGAAAGAGGATCACTTGCCGGTGCCCTCGGCCATCTTGCACGCGACAATCTTGACCTTTTCGACGTCGAGGATCTCGGAGTTGTCGAGCTTGAGCGTGGCGTTCTGCACGCGGAAGGTCCACACCTCGTCGCACAGGCGGTAGTCGCGCAGGTGGCCCTGCCGATGCCAAACAAGTAGACGTCGAGCAGAGTCGGGCACGGTCGGTCGGTCAGAGGCACGCTCACCGCGGGCATTCACCCACTCGCTCGACGATGCGGCGGCTCACCTTGAGCTGGCTCTTTGCCTTTACGTTCTTGGAGAGGTTGGATGCGATGGCCTTGTCAAACTCGTTGAGGACGCGCATGGCGAGCACGGGGTTGACGTGGCCAGACTGGATCAGCTCGTCGAGGGCATCGGTGAGCTGCATGCCGATGCTGTGGCCGGGCAGGCGTAGGCGATCACCATCGTCGTCGTCGTCGTCATCACAGCTGGATCAGTAGGGCGGATCTTTGGCAGCGGAGAGAGATGCAAGGACCGAATTGCGCCTCACCTGCTTCGGCGGTACAGCTCATAGTACTGGCTTCGGGTGGCCATTGCGGAAGTCGTTGCACGGGCTCGTCAGGTAGCGCCGGAAGGCAGGCAGGCAGGCAGGCGGGCGGGCGGGCGGACGGGCGGGCGAGATGCCGCTCAGATGCAAGCCCCAAAGGCTGGGTCGTGGTTGCACGACGAGTCGGATCGGAGCAAACGAGGGGCTAAGGCTGTGCTCGGTTTGGCTGCTGCAGGTGCCCAGCTCAGCGAAGCCAGAGAGCGTGCGATGCCGTGCTCGTGCTGTGCTGTAGCGTCCCGCGACGAAGAGCTTCGCAAGCCGAGGGCGATCACCTGTTCGCGAGAAAAAGGTGGGCAAAGTGGCGGCAGTGGGGGTGGTGGCGGCGGCGATGGTAGGCGGGTGGGAAGGGCCGGCGCTGCTGCGCTGAAGGGGGTTGGGCTGACGCCTCCCCTCTCCGCTCCGACTAGGGATGTCTATCGGCCGGGATGGGTCAGCCCCCGGCCTCCACTTGGCTCGAGGTGAGTGGACGGCGCAGCGCGCACGGGGCGCCTCGTCTAGCCATCCCTGGTCCGGCCTGGCCTCGTCTAGCCTGGCCTAGCCTGTCCCCGAAGGCAACCCCCCAGCCCTGCCCCTTATCTCTCTCCTCTTCCCACCACCGCCACTGCACCGACCCGCGCCATCCGCAACAAATCAAGGCCCACCCCTACTCCAACCACGACCACTGCCCACAATGCCGTCCGCCCTGATCCTCATCGCCCAGGGCACCGAGGAGATGGAGTACACCATCACCTACGACATCCTCGTCCGCGGCGGCGTCAAGGTCCAGTCGGCCCTCGTCGGCTCCTCGCAGACCAGCCCCACGGATCCGCACGGCGCAAAGTACGTCGAGTGCACCCGCGGCGTCAAGATCGTGCCCGACCTCCGCCTGCCCGACCTCGAGGGCGGCAAGGCCCTCGACTACGACGCCATCATCGTCCCCGGCGGCGGGCCCGGCGCAAACACCATCGCCAACAACTCGGACGTACAGCAGCTCATCAACGCCATGTACGGCAGGGGCAAGATTGTCGCTTGCATCTGCGCAGGTACGTTGTCGCTGCCGGGCGCGCCCCGTGCAACGATCGGCGACTGACCGACGTCTGACCACTCGAGCATCTCCCCTCGCGCCCCCTTGCCGCAGGCTCCCTCGCTGCCCTCAAGGCCAAGATCGGCACCGACAACGACATCACCAGCCACCCTTCGGTCAAGGATCAGCTCGTCAAGGGTGAGCTTTTGGCTGCCATCGTGGTCGGACCCTCTCTCTGCTGACCTCCTCTACTCCGACCCTGACCCTGACTGCGCCTCGCCCGCGTGCACTTCGAGCAGACTACACCTACCGCGAGGATCGAGTCGTGATCGGTACGTGACGACCAGGCAAGGCTCGCCACAGATGAAGCACACGGCGCTGACCAGTCTCGCCGTCGTCCCTCTTGCTTGCTTGCTTGCAGCCGACAACCTCATCACCAGGTAAAGTCACCCAGCCACGGCTCCCCGCCTTGACATGGGCGAGCTCGACCTTGCTGCTGACCAGGCCACCCTTGCGCCGCTGTCGGAACCCCTCTCACTCACCAGCCGCGGACCCGGCACGGCGTTTGCGTTCGCCCTCGCCATCGTCGAGGCGCTGCAGGGCAAGGAAAAGAGGGACGAGATCGAGGGTCCCATGATCCTCCCCGACAAGCTTTGAGCGGGCCGCCCGAACGCCCGCGCAGATCACCCGCCGTCATCGGCACACCCAACCCAGGGCTAGGCATCGCCAAGGGCCCCCATCGCACTGCATCAAGCGCCAGCATACCCCGTGCCGCCCCAGGGTCATGTCGGGGACGCTGGATCTCGAGCTCGAAAGCAAGGAGCAGATTTGCATTCGGTGCCGGTCGCGCCGTAAGCAGATTGAGCATTGCCACCCGTATCGCGTCCGCCCCCTCCCATCGATCGATCGATCCATCATCTCGGGCATGCGCCTCTGCCAGCAGCAGCAGCAGCAGCGAAGTCTGCCACAATGACGACCTGGGGCGCCATGCCCGCCCTCTGAGGAACCCATGAAAGTCGTTGTCCTGTCGTGAAAGAAGTATCGGGGAAGAGCATGCGGTGTCGACCCGTGTCGACCCTCTGAGGCCGTCCCCGTGTGTGTCTAGATCCAGTTTTGCCGTGTATCCTGTCGGGGCGTCGCGCTCTGGCTCTCGGCGGGGGGCGACGAAGAGGTCAGCGTCGGCGTCAGAGGCGGAAAGAGGTTGGTTGTCGCCTCGCCCTCGCGCTCGCCCTCGCCCGGGGCCGAGGCCGAGGAGGGGGGCAGGTGCTTGCGTTCGTCATCGACGTCGATGAGGGAAAGTCGGATGCCGCCGCCACCGCCGCCGCCGCCGCCGCCGCCGTCGGGGCCAGGGTCGAGTCGGGGCGAGGGCGTGTGTCGGTTTGGGCTGATGGCTTCGCCCCACCCGTCCGAGCCCCACTCCCACGCCTGCCCGCCACCGCTCAGGCTCGGACTGGCGGCCTTGGCGTCGTTGTTGCCCATACGGTCTCCGATCTCGCTTAGCATCGACGTGCGTCGCTCGGCGGCGGCAGAGTGGGGCGAGAGCGTATTGCCGCTCGTGCGCCGTCGACGCTGGTCCGCACCCAAACCGACATTGAGGTACCCGGCGGCCTCGCCCGACTCGGCGGCACCGGTACCGTCTTGGATGCCGTCCTGCGCCCGCGCCTCCGGGCTCCACGCCTGGCTGATGAGACCCAGAATACCGCTCCCCATGACGCCGAGGGCGGGCGGCGACGCGGCACCATCTGCAAACGCCCGCGGCGAGTTGGGCGAGACGGAGCGCCGACGCTCGCCCGAGCCCGAATTGGCCGAGCTGGCGCTCTGCGTCGACGCGATGCTCAGGCGACGCGGGTCGATCGAGGGCGAGAGGTGCGGCGAGGACGTGTAGCTCGCCGAGTTGCGCTGCAGCGAGCGCCTCCGGGCGTGCCCGCCGGCCGCGGCGAACCACGGCGAGTCTTCGGGCCGACTCGAGGTCGACATCCGCTCGTCGTGGCGCTGCATGTCGGACGCGTTCATCTTGCGCCAGAGCAGGTTGGCCGAGTCCGCCTCGCGCTCCCGGTTGCTTCCCCCGCCGCCGCCGCCGCTGCCGCCACCACCGCCGCCGCCGAGCGAGCTGAGGGACGTCGACGACGATATCTGGTCGAGCGTGCTCCTCTCCCGGTCGCTCGAGCCGATCGAGGAGCCAGACGACGAAGGCGGCAGGCCGAGCAGCTCGTCGATTGTCATGGCATTGCCCAGCTTCCTCTCCGCCTCGCGCAGCATGTCGCTGGCGTTCTCGCGCGCCTCCTTGAGCTTCTTGGCCCACGTGCCGCCCAGGCCCCACCCGCTCGACGAGGGTGCCGTGGGCGACTGCGTGCCGTTGGCGTCGGACGACGAGCGGCTGCTGCGCGAGGAGCGGCGTTCGCCGTTGCCAAGCTTGGGCGAAGACGGCGACGAGGGCGACTGAAACACCTGCTTCTGCAGGTTGGAGAGCGAGCCAAGCACAGAGCTCCGCTTCGACTGCCAGAGGCTCGACCGCGATGGCGTGTTGGACGAGCCCGGATCCGTCTTGGGCGGCGTCGGAGGGCCGGCCTCGTCGATGAGTTCGCCGCCGAACCCTCGGTGGGCTTGCGGCGGGGTGCCGTGAGCAGAGCTTCCTCGCGATTCCCGGCGATGGCGGTCGGCATCCGCAGCAGCCGCCGCAGCAGCAGCAGCCGCCGGCGCTGTTGACCCATCTGCGAGATGGCGGATCGGCGCGAGCGGCGATCTCGGCGAGAGGGCGGCAGGCGTCGCGCTGCCGTTGTCCGACATCTCCTCTTCCAGCACCGAGAGGCTCCGGCCCGTGCCTATCGTCAGGTGGTTGCCCGCCGACTTCATCGACGAGGGCGGCGCCAGGCCGTCCCGGTCCCTGTCACCCTTCTGGGGCACTTCGGGCGGCGGCTGTGGCCCCTCGACCTCCCTGCGCTCGCTCGGGTTGACGGCCATCTGCTCAAAGAGGTTGGTCAGGCCGTTTTTGAAGCTGCCGGGCAGCTTCGACGAGATGCTGTTCCACGCCTCGGCGGCGGCCTGCGGGATGCTGTCGTTGGACTCGCCGCGGGTGTGCGAGGACCGCAGGCTGCGCTCCGAAAACGTGCTGCTGCTCATCGAACGGCGGTGGGCCGTCGGCGACGTGGTCGACGAGGCGGCCGACGAATAGGCAAGCTCGCGGTGTACCGTCGACTGCCAGGACTCCTGCAGCCTCTTCAGCTCCAGCTCCTCCAGCCGCAGCTCTGTCGACGAGGATGGTGGCAACGGGCAAGCACTGTCGATCAGCGTCGTCGATTAGGCTGGCCGCAGACGCACGAGCAGGCCGATTGTCCTCACCTTCTCTCAGCTCGAAGCATCTCCGCTCCTTTTCCGCAATGGCCGTCAGCAGGTCGCGGTGGGCCGACATGACCGTGTCGCCCTCTTCCTTCCGCCGTGCCGCCGCCGCGTCAGACGCCGCAGAGCCGTTGACCGACAGGTTCGACGATGCTCTCTTGCCACTCGGTGTCGTCGTGCGTCGATCCGGCTAGCAGCCAAGTGAGCGCGGGTTCACAAGCGATGAAGATTGTGCGGGGGCATGGACGGCAAAGGAGGAGAGGCAAGCGTCGGTCGATTGTCAGCCGTGAGCTGCCGGTCCAAAAAGGCGGAGTATGGCCGAGCGGCGCAGCTCGGATGGAGCACGCCAGTCGCCAGTCGCCCATCGCTTTGCATTCACGGTGGCTCCGGCAGGCAGGAGGGAGAGAGCACGGGCTCAGCCGATCTGGAGTCCGAGCATATCGTACACATGTCGTAGCCTCTCTTGCAGGCGTGGAAGGATGCTCTCGCGCGCGGCGACCTCTTCCGGCGTCTCCCTGCGCACCGGCTCGGGCTCGCGACCCGTGGCTTCGGCGGCGTGGGACGCTTCGTGTTCGAGCGCGTCGTAGTCCGGTGGAGCAAGCTGCGAGAGGCCGGTTCGCTCAACGTCGTGCCGAAGCGCCTGTAGCAGCTCTTGAGCGGCAGGCAGGGCGTCACTCTGGAGGAAGGCGAACGCAAGCTTGTTGCGCGAGGCGTCTGCACGAGCCCGGCCAACCGCCCCGCCCCGGGCCCTCGCTCTCCCCCGACGTGTCCCAGCCCTGGCCGCTCGACCAGATGCAGCCGACGGCGAGGCCGCTCTACTGCCATTGAGGCCGTCGTCGTCGCCGTCGTCGTGTTCTGCGTCCGCGTCCGCGCCGCCTCCGTCCTCCTGATCGCCACTGCCGCCACTGCCGCCGCCGGTACCCATGCGGATGATGGTCGAGAGAACATCGATCTGGCCTCGGAGCTGTCCGAGGGCGCGGCCGATGGGAGCACCTACCTCGCTGAAGCCGTGGTCGAAGCCTGCCTGGAGCGTGCTGAGCTTGCCCGCCGTGATGCCCTCCCGGTAGCCGATCTGCAGGGTCGAAAAGAGGTTTATGAGCGGCCGTCAGCGGGCTGCCCTCCCGAGCTGCAACATTGCCGCGGCGTGCTCGCAGAGGCCCGGACAGCGACACACTCACGTCGTGAAATTGCGACTCGACCTTGGCGGCATCCCTCTCGCCCATGCTCTTCCCGGCGCCCGACTGGAGCCGAGCCGCTGCAGAGGTGGAGGGCGCCTCGTTGTCGTCGGACATGAGCCAGTCATCGTCGCCATCGGTAGCGGCGGCGGCGCCACCCGAGGCGTTGCCGTTGGTATCGGAGCCGGAGGCGGCAGCCGCGTTCGACGGCCGCCTCATGCTGCCAGAGCGGCTGGTCCTGCCCACCGAACGAGGGGAAAAGTAGGAGCCGCCATCGCCGCCTGCGCTCGACAGGGACGGGGAAGCGGTCTGTTCGGCATGTGCGCCCGAGATCGGCGGGGAGGAGATGTAGCTGAGGCTCATGCGCTTTCCGCGGCGGGGCGTCACTGGGCTGCTGGCGCTGGTGACGGACTGGCTCTCAAGGGAGAGGGGCTTGCGACCGACGAGGGATGCGGTGCGAGAGTGGGTGGTGGTGCTGGGTCCGGCCCCGGCCCCGGCCGCGGCCCCGACGCTGGTGGTGGCATCGCCGCTTGATGCCGTTGAGGGAAAGGGCTGCGAGGACAACGAAGGTGCGGTGGCCGTTGTCGGTGAGGCGGTGGCTGCGTTTGCGAGGACACTCTTTCGGCGGTTGCGAGGTTCGTAGGTGGGGTAGGAAGGGGTTGCGGTGTTGCGGGAGTAGGTCGAGTCTGTGCTGGAAGACGACGACAGGGACGCCTGTGCCGACGCCGAGGCGGGTGCTGATGGTCGGTTCGAAGAGTCCATGGCAGGGGGTTGCAGGAGCAGGTCAAGAGCAGGCAAGGGCTATGTCGAGAGCGCAAGGCGCCAAGGTAGGGCAAAGAGCCAGCTCTCTGCGCGGCCAGGTCGAGTCGAGTCGTGGGGGTGGTGGGCAAAGTTGTGACCAGCGCTGAGCTCGAGAAGCAGACGGAAAGGCGGCGGCAAAGGTGCGAGGAAAGGGTGCTGCAGGTACGGGCAACCGCGCACCTGGCAGCCAAGCAACCAAGAAGACGAGGGCGCGTGGCTCAGGCCCGCCAGGCTGGCCTGGCCAGGTGGAGAGGGTGGCGGCGGTGCCTGCTCAGGACAATTTAGGGCTCACTCGCCTGCCTGCCTGCCTGCCTGCCCGCCTGCCCTCTTCTATCGTCCGAGTGACGGCGATGCCCGCACGGCCGGGCGTGATCGAGTCGAGGCGCCGTTCTGGTCCGCTGCCCTCGGCCTCTTGGCCAGGCCCTGCCCCGCTCCGCTTGCCCGCCAAGAAGGTCGGGCGAGAGAGGGCCCTCTCAGTCCACCTTTGCTCGCCCGCCCGCTCGCCGCTCGGCCTGGTCCATCGCCCGGGAAGCTCCATCGTCACGCCCGTATCGCACCTTGCCTGCCTCCACACCATCACCCCAACTACCGCCCACCACCTACACCTTCCACACGCACCTCTTTCAAGATGTCGTACACCATCGCCGGTTCGTCATCATCTCGTCCCCTCTCGCCATCGATCAAGAGTAGCAACCGAGCTCCATACTGACCCTCCCCTCCCTCTCCCCGTTGCACTCTCATCACTTCTCGACACCCTTTGCGTCTGTTGCACTGGCACAGGCACCAAGATCCTCAACGAGTACCTCGTCCTCGGCGTCCTCGGCACCTACGCCGCCATCGGCTACTCCAAGATGGCCGGCGGAAGCAGCCAGCCCAGCCCCGCCGGCGGCGCCTCGCCCGACTCCAAGAAGGCCGCTGCCCCCGAGCCCCCGATCAACGCCAGCAGCTCGTGAGTTGCCCTCCCCGGCCTTTCTCTCCCCGGCCCCTCTCCCGGCTCAACCTGGACGAAGAGTTCAAACGGAAGAGACGCCCGCATCGGTGTTGGCGGAAAGGTGTCTGCTTGGCTGGCGCCGACTACTGCCTTTGCACATTGGCGTCTCCCCACGCTGGCAGTGGTCCGGCCACCGCCCATTGCCCTCAGCAAGCCAGACAATCCACGATGCGGGCCTAGAAACGAGAGGCTGACTGGTCCCTTCCTCCCTTTTCCCTTCTCCCTCGACGCATTCTGCCCCCGGTTCGCAGCGACGAGGAGGCCTTCATCAAGCAGTTCCTCGCCGAGGCCGAGGGAAACGGTGACCGTCTCGTCTAGGCTTCGTCGTCCAAACCTTGCATGCCGAAAACTGTAGCCACCACAACGCCCGCCGCCACGCACCACGGCGGCGTGGGCGGAAATTAGACGACTTCTGACTGCCCCGACACTCGCGCGCCGACACGGCCAGAGGTCTGCTGCCCGCTCGCCCCTCTTTTCGACGAGGATGCCAAAGGCGATCACATCGCGGCAGGGAGCCGGCTACCACGTCTCGCCCTCATCTCGTGATATCGCAAAAGTCCTTTGTGCGGGCATCGGTACGGCAGTTTTGCCTCTCTTCCCATACAGTGTCGGGCCTATCTGCGCATCAGATCCTCGAGAGATCGCGGCCCCAGATCTGTCGCCGGATCGGAGCGGAGCAGAAGGGAGAGGGAGAGGCAAGTCGAAGAGTCAGACTCGGCCTGGGCTTTCGTGAGCATGTGGCCGGTCACCGCAGACGAGGATCGGCTACTCACGCCGCGCTTGATGTAGTCGGCCATCAGCAGCGCACGAGTGCGCATCGAGACGGACTCGGACAGGTACACGGACCGCCAGGCGTACATGGCTGTAGCAGGACGGCAGCGAGGCGCACAAGAGTCAGCCGACGAGCCTTCGAAGAGTGGCCAACGTGATGGGCCGCAGTCTCTACTCACCGACCAGTCCGCCCGCCCATGCTCCGAAGCTGCCGGGAAGGGGCAGGTCAAAGGCTGCCGCGTTGCCGATGTCTGCGCAGAGAAAAGAAGGTGGAGCTTTTCGTCAGCATCGCGCAGCCGCCAGTCGCACGCTGCACCCCTGTGTACACTCCGCATGCCGCACTCACATGCCAGGCTGCCGAGCGCGCGGTAGGTGAAGGGCTTGTACACGGCGTCGTCGATGTCGAAGACGTCCTCGGCCGAGTGCGGGTTGATGTCCTGGCCGGCGTCGCGGCGCTTGGCCAGCTTGTTGAGCTTGCGGCCCAGGTACTTGCCCTGCTGCGAGGCCACCTGCGCCGTGGCCGGCAGCGCCGTCATCTTGTTGCCCGTCTCCATAAACAGCGTCGCCACCTCGTTGAGGTTGAGCGTGCCGTCGGCATCGACGTCGTACCGGTCAAACATGTCCCGAAGCTTGAGGAAGTGCTTCGAGGCCAGCGGGAACTGCAGCGAGAGGGCGTCGAAGACAGGTGACGGGACAAGTGGAAAGGGGCCCCGGTGTCAGCACTCTGGCTCGCGTGTCACGGTGCACGGCGCACGTCGCCCACCGCCGCAGCAATGGCCGTGGCCGCTCCTCGCTCGCTCGCTCGCTCACCTTGCGGCCCACTTCGCCGGCCAGCTGCTCAAACTCGCGGAACGACAGGCGTCCGTCCTTGTCCTGGTCGAACCTGTCGACCCACTCGTAGAGGTAGTCGATCAGGCGCGTGTCGATGGTGCTGGCGTCGCCGAGCGCATAGATGCTGCCAAGCGGCGCGCCCTTGACGCGCAGGTGGCTGTCGATCTGGAGCGCCTTGAGGTGGCTCTGATTGGGCAGCAGCTGCGTCACGCGCTTGGTAAAGGGGCTCATGGCGATGCCCGTGCTCCACAGCGTGAAGCCCGAGGGCACCTCGTGCTCCTCGACCTTGCCCGTCGCCTTGTCGCGCGTCGTGTAGATGACCTTGTCCGGCTTGACCTCCTTGACGCGGGCATTGACAATGACGTCGACATTGTCGCGCGCAAACTTGTCCTCGGCGTAGCGCGAGATGGCCTCGGAGTACGTGTTGAGGATGTGCTCGCGCGACTGGATCAGGTGGACCGAGGCGTCGGCGCGGAGGATCTTGGGGTAATAGGTGAGAACGTCCTCGTTCATCATGTCGTAGATTTCGGCGGCGGTCTCGACGCCCGTGGGCCCGCCTCCGCAGATGACAAAGCTGAGCAGCCGCTTGCGCTCCTCGGGCGTCGTCGTCGGCAGCGAGGCCACCTCGAGGTTGTCTGTGGGCGCGGGCAGGGGAGGTCAGAAAACGGAGGCGAGAGACGGGTCAGCAGACCGTAATCGCGGTCAAGGTGAGGCAAAGTGGAGCGAGGCGAGGCGGGGCGATGGTGGACCCGGGGTTGGATCGCTCGTCGTAACGGGCAAACTGCGGCGGCTCACCGAGGATGTGCGAGCGGATCTTGCGCGAGTCCTGCACCGTCTTGAGGTGGAAGCAGTTCTCGAGCCCGGGCACGCCGTGCGTGTTGGTGACGCTGCCGACGGCGATGACGAGGCGGTCATAGGGAATGTAGATGCTCTTGTTGACGGTCTCGGCCTTTTCCCGGATCTTGCCGGCGCCCGCCGTCTTGATGCCGAGGGCGGCTTGGTCGCCGTCCCAATCATCTCCGCTGATGACGCTGACCTCGAGCAGGCGCTGCGAGCCGCCGGCCGACTCGGGCAGCGCGTCGCCCATGACCACGTCGGTGGCGCAGCCCTGGATATAGTGGCCGTGGACGCTCGCCAGCAGCTTGCGCAGCGGCTCGATGAGCGATCGCGGCTCGACGGTGCCTACGGTCGCCGAGGGCAGCAGCGGTGTGCTGCAGCGTGGCAGGCGTGCGCCAAAGGATCCAGCGGAGCAGGACTGGTCAGAGAGAGAGAGAGAGCCATGCAGCGGGGACGCCGAGGACCGCGACGTGCTCACAAGAGGTTGAAGTTGGTGGGCGAGACGAGGGTGACATTGTAGCGGTCCGGGTCGAGGCTCTGGAGGAGGGCGACGGCGGCCCAGCCGCCTCCGACGATGACGAGGCGCTCCTTTTTGGCGAGCTCTTTTGACTTTTCGTCCTGCTCGTCTTCGGTGTAGCTCGAGAGGATGGGGAGGTTCTTGGGTCCGCCCGTCTCTGGCTGGAGGGCGCGCGGTGCGAGGGGGATCTTGCCGACGTGACTGTCCTTGTAGGTGAGCGCGTCGTGTGCGAGGATGATGGCGGTGGTGGCAAAGAGGCCGAAGCCGATGGAGGCGACGGTGTAGGCGCCGTAGCGGAGCATCTTGCCGACGAAGCCGAGCTTGTCCTTGGATGGCGGCTTCTGGTTGGCGGCCTCGTTCAAGGGCGTCGCGGCGCTGCGGCGCACGGCCGACGAGGAGAGGTGGCGCGCCAGCGATGGGTTGGACTTGGCGATCGACGAGGACGAGGGTAATCTAGCCGTGCGCAGGAGCGACGAGGCGTGGAGGTTGAGGGCGGTGGGCCTGGATGCCCTTGCCGCAGCGGCAGCCGGCCTGGTGACGGCGAGGTATCGTTGCATGGCCGCGCGAGCTGTCGTGGTGGGGTTCAGCGACAAGGAGAGTCCAAAGACAGGAAGCCAAAGCTGGGCGGTGGTGATGGTGATGGCGATGGTGGTGGTGGTGGTGGTGGTGGTGATGACGGAGAGGGCTTCAGCAAGACACGACGCTGGCGACTGACGGGCTCGACGAGGACCACGAGGCATGGCGAGGCGAGGCGATCCAGGCAGGGTTCAGCGGCCAGGCAGCATCGAAGCAAGCCGAGCCAAGCTGACCGGCGGCAAGCCTGCCTGCGCTGCTTGCTGCCTCGAAGAAGCAAGCAACAAGCAAACAGCAAGGGACGGCCTGCTTGCCACGGCTTCCAGGCCGAGCGCACCGAAGCCAACCAGCCTCGCTGCCGGGCCGCCTGCACCACTCGTCATCGAGCGTCAATTTCCAGGCAGCCTGGCAGGCACGTACGCACGCACGGCCCAGCTGTCCCGGCCTGGCCTGCTGGCTGGCTGGCTGTCTGGCAAGTCAGCGGCTGAGTGGGGTGTGGACCCTGGCTGGCTGGCTGGCTGGCTGGCTTGGTTCGGAATTGCCAGGCCGAGTTCTGCCCGGCTGGCCGAGTCTGGCTGGCTGGCTTGACTTGCGCCGGATCCGCTTTTGGGAGGGTGCCACGTTGGACCTGGCCTTTTTCGGCATTCGGGCCAGCCCAGCAGGCAAGCCAAGGCTGTGCGCAGGCAGGCAGACCTGCCAGCCTCTGCGAAACGCCAACGCGCGCCCTCGACTCGGTCTGGACGCCGAGGGTCAGGCCTGGCCTGGCCTAGCCTGGCCAGCCAGGTCAAGCCAGCCGGACGGCCAGCAGCGCCCGCCCAACCAACAGCCGCGAGGGCAGAAGAAAGCGCAAAGCACGCTGCTTGCTCGTGCCGCTGTCGCCGCCGCTGCGCCTTTGTTGGCTCTCGCGCCACCACCACCACCACCTCCTCATCCTCGTATCACCACCACCGCCGTCGCCATCCCCCTTCTCCTCATTCTCTTGCACGCAGGCTCCTCTCCCGCTCTCTCCGTCCCCCTCCCTGTCTGCCAAGATGATGCGAGCCGACAACCCGGACGAGTCGCTCGGCGACGGTCCGCCGGCGCTCCAGCAGTTTGTCGCCCAAACCAACCGCCTCCAGCAGCGCTACCAGGCCTTCCTCGACAGCACCACCCCGCACACCGCCTACCGCTGGTCTGCCACCGTCGGCCTCCTCTTCCTCTTTGTCCTCCGCATCGTCCTCAGCCAGGGATGGTACATTGGTGCGTCGTCAGCCGGTAGCCGCGCTCGCACCCCCTTCCGCCGCAATCGCACTGAACTCTCCACCCATCCTCCTTCTCCCTCTCATCTCCTCTCCTCTCCCCACGCCACCGCACAGTCTGCTATGCCCTCTTCATCTACCTCCTCAACCTCTTCCTCGCGTTCCTCACGCCCAAGTTCGACCCGTCGCTCGAGGCCGACCTGGCCGAGCAGGACGTCGAGGAGGGCGAGCCGGGCCTCCCCACCTCGGCATCCGGGAAATCCTACGGCGGCTCCAGCGGTAGCGCCGGCGGCGGCCTCATGAGCGGCGTCTTTGGCAGCAGCATCAACACCCAGTCGTCCGACGACGAGTTCCGCCCGTTTATCCGGAGATTGCCAGAGTTCAAGGTGCGTTTGACGCGCTGCGGTCCCCGTCGTGCGGCTTCGTCGCCGTAGCCGTCGCCGTCGCCACCGCCGTCTCGTGCTGACCCGTCTATCTTTGCTTCGCTCTTGGCGTTGCTCTCGTCTTGTTCCTCGTCGGCAGTTCTGGCTCTCGGCGACGCAGGCGATCCTCATCTCGCTCTTCTGCACCACGTCCGAGGCCTTCGACATCCCCGTCTTCTGGCCCATCCTCGTCATGTACTTCTGCATCCTCTTTGCCATCACCATGCGAAGGCAGATCAAGTGAGTACGGCCTCGCACCGCCCCGACCGCACTCTCGGCTGGTCCGGTTGCTGACTGCGATCCCACCTGCTACCTACCACGGCACCGCCCTTCCCGCCCGCTCGACAGGCACATGATCCAGCACCGATACGTGCCCTTTGACCTGGGCAGGAAGGCGACATACGGACGCAAGTGAGGAAGACACGGAGTCGCATCACGTCTGCTATGCGCGCGCGCGCGCTGGGATGCCGGCGCCTCGATTGCAAATGGACCAGCCCCTGGTACTGTGGAAGCGCCCCAGCAGCCTCGCGGCGTCGTTGTAAATACTGCCAACAGTCGAATCGGGCCGTCCCTCGATCCCCGCGGGTGGGGAGGCGAGTTCGTCGCTTGCTTCGGTATAGAGATCAGAGATCCGGTTGCCCTTCGTCCGAGTCGGTTGTGGGGATGCTGCGGCGTCGCCTCCGATTCTGTCGTGATCCCCGCTTGGCTGCTGCTGCTGCTGCTGCTGCTGCTGCTGCTGCTGCTGCTGCTGCTGCTGCTGCTGCTGTGGCGCGTGCGCGCGCGAGGGAGAGGGAAGAGGCTGCCTGGTGGTTCCAGCATGTACGATGTCGCTGGGCTGATGGACTTGGTATCTTGCGTCGGTGTCCGTGAAGCGTCGGCGCTCGGGTGCGTCGCTTGGCTAGGCCCAACCCGGCGTTAGACAGAAACGCCAACGACAGGTACGCCTTTAGGCTTAGGCTTGACCGCCAACGCCGACGCCGAGGCCGACGCCGCATCGGTCAAAGCATCACCTTCCTTCTTCGTCCCATCCCCTCCTGATCCCCCTCCACCACCACCGCCGCCACCTCCACCAAAGGGGGTGAAGGGGTCGTTTACGATTTTCCAGCGGACGAGTTCGAGGGCCATCTGCGCGTCTTCGGCGCTCGAGTGCCCGACGGTGGCGCCCGAAGCCTGGATAATCTTGCCGAGGTACTTGGACGTCAGATCGCGCAGGGCCAGACGGAAGGGGAGGCCGCGCGGGTGGGCGAAGAGGAGCGCCGTATCCACCACGGTCGTGTGCACCAGCCGCATGGCTAGAAGGTCGTTTTCCAGTCCGTGCCCCACCTTTTTGACCGTTCCGTTCATTGAAGACGATGACGACAAAGAAGGAAGAGGAGGATGGAACGGTGTGGAGAGAGAGGAGAGGATTGGGTCAGCTCCTGAGAAAAGGGGCACCGCCGCAGATGGGGGCCCGCAAAAAGAGGGCCGTCGGGTCATAGCGGCGGCCCAGGACTCGGGACTCACCAGGATGGTCGACTCGCCCACAAACCTGCCCATGGCGCGCCGGGCGCCCGCCAGGTCGAGGACCGCGTCCCGCTCGTACTGCTCCGGCTGGATGCCCGAGAAGCGGGTGTTGTAGTCGACGACCTGGGCGCGGGAGCGTACCAGCTCGTCGAGGATGACGGAGCCGTCCTCGGAGATGAGCGTCAGCCTCGTCAGGCTCATGCCCGCCGTGGTGAAGCACAGCTCGCAGTCGAGCGCTACGATGTCGAGGTGGTCGGTGGCGGCCCCTTCGTCGGCCAGCGAGGCCGACAGCTCGGCCGTCGTGATGAAGCCTTCGCGCAGGTTGAGGTCCGACGCCGCCTCCTCCTTGAAGACGTGCGGGCCCAGGCAGCAGCTGTCGTCGCCAAACGCGCTCGACTCGACCGGGCGGCCGCAGCACCGCCAGACTTGCACCTTGCCTCGCTGGCCCTCGGCGCGTTCGTAGCGCTGCATCCAGTGCGAAGGAATGCCGCAGCCACAAAGCGAGCCGTGTATGTACGTCAGCTTCCGGATCGTGCCTGAGAGCAGCGTGGCCACACGATGTGTCGATACGCCTCGCTTGCCCGCTTGCCCGCTCGCCTCACCTTTTTACCGTAGTGGTATCTGCACTCGTGCTGGTCCTGCGGCAGGCGCTCGGTGCCGACCTCGTTCATCTCGCCGCCAACGCAGAACTTCTTGCCGCATCGGATGCACTCCTTGTACTCGCCGACGCTGTCCGGCTTGCTGCCGCCCACCTCCCTCCACTCGTCGGGCAGGCTGGCCAGGAAGCCGTGACGCTCGAGGTCGCCCTTTGGGCAGATGAAGCCCGCCTGCGCGAGCCTGTGCTTGGACAGCTTGCCCTTGGCCCTGGCTTCGGCCTGGGCCTGCTTCTTGCGCACCTCGAGCGCGGTGCCCGTCTCGGGACAGGCGAGCAGCAGCTCCATGACGGCTCTTTCGGCCGAGCCCACCGCGGCGCCGCTGTTGTCGTCGGCAGCGGCCTCGATCTCGACGGCCTCCTGCTCTGCCAGACGCGCGTAGTTGCCGAGCACTTCGGCGTTGCGCTTCTTGACGCCGAGGATGGCGCTGACGCACGAGGACTTGTAGCTCGTCTTGGTGGCCTCCTTGAAGAGCTGCATCTCCTGCGCTAGGGTGTGGTCGTGGGCTAGCCTCTGAGCGGCGCCGCGGACGATCGAGTGGGTGCTGTTGAGCAGGGGGGCGTAGGCGGCGACAAAGGTGCTGTAGAGCGTCTTGATGCTGCCCTGTCGCTGAGCAAGCGAGATCTGGGAGCTGCTGGGATGCTGCCTGAAGGTGATGGTGGGAGGCTGGATCTGTCGGCGGCGACGATGGCGGCGCCAGCGAGGACGTGGCAGGGCAGGCAGGATTTTGGGTTCGGCGTGTGGGCGATGTATGCGCAGGCGAGCAAGCTCAGTGTGGGCTGCGGGTAGCGCATGCGTCCGCCTCGAGACGGAGCAGGACCCGTGCCAAAGCGGGTCGGAACTCACAGGAACGTTTGACCAGCCATCTGTGGCAACCTTTGAAGCGGAAATGGCGGTGGCAGACTTTGAGAAGGTCGTCGCGGGTCGTGGTGGCAGGGGAGCAGGCGCCTTTGCTGGGGCCCTGGTGGTGGCGGTGACGGCTGTCGAAGTCGAGGCGGCGGCGGAGGCTCTGGATGTGGCTACGTAGGCATTGCGAGCCTTTTTCGCCGGTGGCTGGCTGGGAGCAGAGGAGGTGCCGACAGCGGTGGACGGGGCGAGGCTCTTTTTGACGGAGGGCGAGATGGTCGAGGTGCCGGTGCCTAGAGACAAGACAGGACGCTTCGGGAGCGATGAAGAGGGCGAGGGGCTGGCGGTGCCTGTCGATTTGATTGTCTTTGCTGCTGTGGCTGTGGCGATCGAGCTGTGCGTCGATGGTGGCGGTGAAGAGTGGCTGAAGGGGCAATTGACGCGGAGGGTCTGGCATTTGCCGTCTGCGAGGTCCGGGCAGGGGATGCTGGCGAGCAGGCCGAGCGGCTTGAACATGGTTGCGATGTCGTCGTTTGCACCCGAACCTGTGCGTGGTATGAGCAAGTGCACTGGTGGCAAGCGGCAGAGTTGCCGGAGAAGAGCCAAAGGGAGCAAGGGAATGAGGATGAGATTGGTGATGTGGGTGGTGGCAGGTGACAAGGAGGTGTTGGTTTGGGCGAGCCAGGAAGCGCTCGCACCCTTCAAGCCGCGATTTTTTCCCTACGCCTCGCCGCGGCCCAACAACCTCCACTTTGGGGCAAACCTGCCGCCTCGCCTCGCAGCCCTCTGGCGCCGAACAGCCTGCTCAGCCTCTCTGGCAGGCAGGCGGGCCGTCGACATCAGTCGCTCCTCGCAAGGCGGCAAAGGGCGGCTTCAGTCCGCTCGGAACCGGCAGGTAGGTCACTTTAGGGGTTGCGATGCAATACAGTAGTGGGAGAGGGCAAGGACAACGATGCCTGCGACGGCGGCAATTCGAGCTACATTCAGACAACAAGCCCGTTCGAGCAGGGCGAGGGGGGCAGCACACGATCAACCACGGAGCCAAGGCCAGCTGGATCCGGGCCTGCCTGCTTGCTTACTTGCTTGCTTGCTACTTGCCCGCCCGGCCCCCAAGGAAAAGAACCTTCTTGATCGGCTTGACCGAGTCGGCGAGCGCATCCAGCGTCCAGTAGTGCTTGACCACCGGCACCGCATCCCGCGCCGCCAAGTTGCGCGGCGGATTGGGCCCCTGCGCGTCCAGATGTCCGCTCGCCTCTCGTCGGACCACGGCCATGGGCGCCTCGAGCAGATCAAAGCTCCGTTCCACGGCCAGTTTGCCCGTCGTGATCCTGGCTCCCATGACCGTCCCGCCAAAGGAGCGTGGTACGCCCCGTCCAAACGGAGTAATGGGCAGCGCGGCGTATATCACCATCGCCACCAGCGCGGCCCGAAGGATGTGTCGATAGATGGCAAAGAGTCGCGCCGTGGCCATTCTCGCGAAAAGTCTCGAGGAGCCTGGTGGCAAACTTGAGAGGTGGTGGTGAGAGGTAGCGCGTCTTGGACCGACCGGTGGAGACACGACGATGTGGGTATCAATGCAAGGCTCGAGGACGGAGACGGGCGAGTCGAAGCAGCTTGGACCTCGTCGCGAGGCAAGGGGGAAGAAAACAGAGTGTAGTGTCTTGGAAGCGGTAGGCTGCTGATGTGGTGCGGTCCCTGGACCCCACTTTATACCTCCCAAGTAACCATGGCAGCAACGGCGGGGCGGGCATTGGCCAGCCAGCGAATTTTCTAGACGCGATGCTCTCGGGGCGCAGTCATCCCTCGCATCGCGGCCAAGCACAGGCAGGCAGGCAGAGTCGTGGAGTCACGACCAAGTCGCTGTCCGGGCATGGCCTGCAATCCTTTGTCTTTGCAGCGCCCCAAAAAGCTAGAGCCAAGGCCGGTCGCGGGGCCGTGTTACCTCAGAGGTGGGTCGAAAAGACAAGGTAACCGGAGCAGACGGCCGGCTATCCGTGTAGCCATCGCCAGCACCATCGCCGCCGCCACCAAGGAGCGCCATGGCTGGCCGGTCGATGACCGGGCAACGATGGTCAGCCTCGCAACACGATCGACGGCGCTAGGGTAGCGAGGGAGAGCTCCCTCACATCCCCAGTCGGATGACGCCGGCGCCGATGCAGCCGATGCCAAACACGACCAGCGAGGCGCCCCACACTGGCCGCGCCTTTGCGCCAGAGGGCAGGGGCCCGCGGCGGAAGGCGCCCATCTTGTACGCTTCGGCCAGCGAGTAGGCGCCCATGCCCGTCATGGCTGCGAAGCCCGTCAGCCGGCACCCGAGGCAGTCGGATCCCGGCAACCGGACACTCGCACCGGCGGGCGCCGCCCCCTCTGACGGCGAGTGGATGCGATAGGCCTGATCGTGTCGCCGAGTCCATGCGATGGCGAGGCAGAGGAGCGAGAAGGAAGGGCAGAGATGTGCATCAGGGATGAGGGTCAAGACCAGATTCGGCTCACAAGGGGAAAAGGGGGCACGACAGCACGTCTGCTGGGCAGGCCGTTTTGGAGCAGCGTTGCGCCGTTGCAGCAACGATGACACGGCAACCGACGCGCAGGCGGGCGCGGGTGATGGTGGATGTGGATGTGCAAGGGTGATTGCATTCTATTCCTTGGCGAGCGAGCGAGCGAGCGAGCGCGCGCGCGCGCCCGGTGGCGGAAGGGCTGCGCGATTCGCCCCCGTCCATCATCCGCCGCCGCTGGCCTTGACCCTACGGCCTCGTCACCGGCTCCCGTATCCACCGCACCTGCCAGGCCGAACCGCAACGTAGGGTGCCGTCGATCTCGCCTCTGGTCTCGCCGTCGATCTCGCGGGCGCTCGTGGCGCCGCTCAGACCCTGCGTACCTTTTCCTCGAGCTTCTGGCCCTCGGCCTTTGCCTTTTCGACGGCCTCCCTGCCCTTGTCCTGCGCCCGCTCGGCGAGGTCGGCGCTCTTGTCCTGGGCCTTTTCGACGCCGGCGGCCGCCTTGTCCTTTGCGGCGCCAAACGCCTCGCCTGCCTTTTGCTGCAGCTTCTCAAACGTCGTCTGGGGCGCGTTGGACGAGGCCGAGACCGAAGAGGGGCCCGAGGGGACGACGCGGATGCCGGGGACGGCGACCGGGTTGAAGGAGCGCTCGCAGTCGGTGTATGCGCTGCCCATGCCGAAGCCGGTCGCGAGCCAGACGGGGAAGGCGCGGCCTGCAGGTCGGTAGGCGGGAAGGAGGCAGAGGCTCATGAAGACGGTCAGGACGAGGATCGACGGCGGGATCGCGATGCGCAATGCTTCTTTTGCTGCTGCCGTCGGGCGCAGATGGGTTGTCGTCGCCGCTGCTGCAACACTCACGCTTGAAGAGGAGGACGGAGAGGACGACACCGGCGCTGAAGCCGATTCCGGTCTTTACGATGGCATTGCTGATGCAGAGGTCGGTCTGGGAGCAGAAGCGAAGGGGAGAGGGAGCTCGGTCAGGTCCAAGCTCGGTCGAGGCAGAGGCAGTGGATCACGTTTCCGGCTGTCGATGAGTGCATCGTACCTTCTGGCTGATGATGTCTTCGCTCGAGACCTTCTGCTGGGTTGGTTGTTGGCTCGCCATCTTGGGAGGGGGGGCTGTGTACGCTGCGCAGGTGGTTCGATGATTGGAAGGGGGAGAGGAGCCGAGGCGTAGGTTGGTCGCGGTCGTTTTCGTCGTCAAAGTGATGCGGACGAGGTGGTGGATGGACTTGGTGGCCTTGGTTCGAGCAGAGGTGGAGACCAGACTCTTGGCTTGGCCTGCCTGCCTGCCTGCCTGCCTGCCTGCCTGCCTGCCTGCCTGCTGGGCTTCCTGCCTGGATCCGATGACGGCGCTCGCGGGGGCAGGCCAGGCCAGGGCCGCAAGAAGAACCGCCAGCCTCTCTCTGTCGCGAGGGCAGGCAGGCAGGGTGAGCCCAGGCCAACCCGGATGCGCCCTTGCTGCCTTTGGGCTGCCTTGGACCCCTGCGCCCGATCGTGGGTCGCCTGGCTCGTCGATTTCCGTCACGGCCGATAGAAGCTGGACCTCGACTCACCCACTCGAACCTCCACAACGCGGTCCAGAGGGACGCCCGGCCTGGCCTGGGCTGGCCTGGCTTGGCTGGTCAGCTGGCACGGGCCCAGGCCTCGAAGCTGTAATTCCTGACTCCCGCTCCCGCTGCAACCTTATCCAAGACTGCCCCACCCTCACCCTCCTTACCACCACCACCACCGCTACCACCACCATCACCGCCTCGATTCCTGAGACCACCTTTCAGGCCTGAAGCTCGTATGCTGGTTCTACGAACGGCATCTCTGCGATCCATCTCGACCACCTGTCTCCGCCGACCCGCCGCCGCCGCCCCTGCTAGACCCATACAGGCCCTGTCCTGCTCCAGCTTGTTCCCCTCCCCCGACTACTCGCCAGCCCGCCGCCGTCTTCTATCCTCGTCTGCCTCGACCGCGACCATGGACGCCCAAGCCAGCCACAGCGGCGACACCAAGCCCCTCGTCGCCATCACCTCGCACAACCAGTACAAGACCGACGGGCTCGCCGAGGCCGACCTGGCCCCGTCACCCATGGAGCAGTTTGACCGTTGGTTCAAGTACGCCGTCGAAAAGCAGGTCGCCGAGCCCGAGGCCATGACGCTCTGCACCACCGCCCTGCCCACGCCCACCTCGGCCGGCGCCGACGCCTTCCCGCGCCCCTCGTCGCGCGTCGTGTTGCTCAAGCAGATCGACTCGCAGGGCTTCCTCTTCTTCACCAACTACGACTCGCGCAAGGGCCGAGAGCTCGCGGCCAACCCCTTCTGCTCCCTCACCTTCTTCTGGCAGCCCCTCTCGCGCTCCGTGCGCGTGTGCGGCAAGGCGGTCCGCCTGACAAAGGACGAGTCCAAGCGCTACTTTGACTCGAGGCCCATCGGCTCGCGCGTCGGCGCATGGGCCTCGCCCCAGTCGTCCGAGATCCAGAGCCGGGACCAGCTGGAAAAGATGGTCAGGGACAAGGAAAAGGAGCTCGGCGTGCCCGGCGCCGCCCGCCTGACCGAGAGCGAAAACTGGCAGGGCGACGACAAGGACGTGCCCCTACCGGAGCACTGGGGCGGCTTCCGCGTCATCCCCGACGAGATCGAGTTCTGGGCCGGCCGGCCCAACCGCCTCCACGACAGGTTCAGGTGAGTGGCAGTCCAGAGCAGGCGTGAGGGCAGCACGCCAGTCGCCGTGGTCGATCCGAGCATGCCGGCGGGCCAGGACACATTGCTGACTCGGTCGTCCTCGTCGACCTCGTCCCTTGCCCCGCCCGCCTCTGCAGGTACACGCGGGACATCAACTCCAAGGTGGCGGCGTACGACGACAAGTGGGACGTTAGCCGCCTGGCGCCGTGATGCGTCCATGTACCCGTAGCGAGGCCGTCGTCGACGAGATCGGTATATAAGTGTGGCATTGCACGGAAAGAGCAGGATTGCCTTGACTGCCTCTAGGAAGAAGGAGCGACCTTGCCGACGATGTTGTATCGCTGCAGGGACGATGCGGGGGAAGGGGGGGAGGTCAGCAGAGATGCAGCGTCAGAGGCACGGCGGAAGAGCATGCTCACCTTGGTATAGTAGGCGTGCTGTTTGGACGCGAGAGCGACGACGGGAGTGGCGAGGTCAGCATACGAGGTCCGGACGATAGCACAGCGGACGGGGGAGAGTACGGCGACGCACCCAGTCGTCGAGGACCTTCATCTGCTTGTCGTCGAGTGTCGAGTAGTCTGCGACGGCGTTTTCGGGCTTGAGGTCGGACATGCCGAGGCCGCGCGAGCCGTCCTTTCCGGCAAAGACCGAGTAGCCCTTTCCCGGGCCTGCAGAGACAATGGCGATACGTCGGAAGGAGGGGGGATCAGCAGTCAGGGCACGTCAGTCTCGTTGGCGGTGACGAGGGCCAGCGGTATGGCATGGCATGGGATTGGCATGACGTGGGAGGGGTGCAAGGGGCGTGGCGGTCGAGACGCACTATACATTTCCCGCCTGGGCGAGACGTCAAAGACGGTACCCTTGACGGCGACGTAGACGGGCTTGCTGGGATCGGTTCCGTCGTACTGCTTGAGCTCCTCGACGGTGATGGGGTCGTCCTTGGGAGGCCTGAGGCGATGCCAGGGGTGCGAGGTCCCACCTCACGTCAGCGACCGACGGCATCGGTGCTCGGGCTGGCATTCCACGCGACCGTGTGTGTGTGTGTGTGTGTGCGGCGACTCACTGAGTGGGCTTGGTGGATGGCTCCATGTTGCTTGTTTGTCTTTGGTACGAGGACTGGTGAGTGCGAGTGGCGAGGTTGGTGGTGGTGTTGGTGGTGGTGGTGGTGGCGTGGGGTAAGGTGACGGCGACCTCGGCTCAGGAAGCCCAGCCAGCCGGTGGCCCAGCCAAGCCCGACGCAGGCCCAGCCCCGCTGAGGCCGTGGCCAGCCACGCTTGCGTGACAGAAATGTGGAGAAGCCTAGCCCAGGCTGGGCGGGGCCCGCCCGGGCTCGCGCTCGGACCCTGTCCTGTCCGGCTCAGCGCTGAAAGCTGCTGCTGCTGATTTTCGGGTCCGACGTTCAGACCCGCCCAGCCCCTTCCGAGTCCTAGCGGGGGTGCGGGCGCAGCGGGACGATGTCACGCGGCAGAGGCCGAAAATTTTGGAAGGCGGCGGCGGACCAGGACCAGACCAGGCCAGGCCACCCTGCGCTGCTCGCCAGCGTGATCGAAGCCGGCCAGCGGCGTCGGCGGCATCGTCGATACCGGGCACGATGATGATCACCACCACCATCATTCTTGGTCACCGCCTCACGCACACAACAACGCCACCAACTCAGAACCGTCAGGCGCGCGCGACAACACCATAGCGACACCGCCTCGCCGACTAGCCTCGCCACCTGCATCACCGCAGCCCTACCGCCGGCCCGGATCGCCGACTCGCCTCGCCAAAACCCCCTCCCCCCCTTTCGAATAGCCCAAGATGTCGACGACGGTGCAAAAGATCAAGGAGATTGAGGATGAGATGGCCAAGACGCAGAAGAACAAGGCCACGGCCTACCACCTGGGCCAGCTGCGCGCCAAGCTGGCCAAGCTCAAGCGCGAGCTCATCACGCCCAGCGGCGGCGGCGGCGGCGGCGCGGGCGTCGGCTTCGACGTGGCAAAGACGGGTATCGCCAGCGTCGGCTTCGTCGGCTTCCCCTCGGTCGGAAAGAGCACCCTAATGTCCGGCCTGACGGGCACCACGTCCGAGGCGGCCGCCTATGAGTTTACCACCCTCACCTCGGTGCCCGGCACCATGAAGGTCCACGGCGCCCCCATCCAGATCATCGACCTGCCCGGTATCATTGAAGGCGCAAAGGACGGCAAGGGCCGCGGCAGGCAGGTCATCGCCGTCGCGAGGACGTGCAACCTCATCTTTATCGTGCTCGACGTCGGAAAGCCATTGGTGAGTCGCCGGCGCGCGCTTTGCAACTAGCGCAACGGAGATGAGGCGTGGCAGGGCGCAGCGAGGCTCATCTCGGACCTCTCCAACTGCGGCGTTGCTGACTCTGCCCCACGCTGCGCATACGCTGTCCCCGTACCGTTCCCCCGCTCTTGACCCTGCAGAAAGACAAGGCGATCATCGAAAACGAGCTCGAGGGCTTCGGCATCCGGCTCAACAAGCAGCCGCCCAACATCATCGTGCGGAGAAAGGACAAGGGCGGCATCTCGATCACCAACACGGTGCCGCTCACCAAGCTCGACAACGACGAGATCAAGGCGGTGCTGTCCGAGTACCGCATCTCCAACGCCGACGTCGCCTTTCGCCAGGACGCCACCGTCGAGGAGCTCATCGACGTCATCGAGGGCAACCGCATCTACGTGCCGTGCATCTACGTGCTCAACAAGATCGACTCGATCTCGATCGAGGAGCTCGACCTGCTCTACAAGATCCCCAACTCGGTCCCCATCTCGTCGCAGCACTGGTGGAACGTCGACGACGAGCTCGTAGAGAAGATGTGGGAGATGCTCAACCTCGTCCGCGTCTACACCAAGCCGCGCGGCATGGTGCCCGACTACAGCTCCCCCGTCGTCCTCAAGCGCGGCAAGAGCACCGTCGAAGACTTTTGCAACGCCATCCACAAGGAGATTATCAAGCAGTTCAAGTAGTGAGTGGGCACGTCACATGGCCGTCGCAGCTCAGCTCGGCTCAGCCTGGCCTGGCCTGGGCTGGTTTCGTCGGTGGAGTACGCTTGCTGACACTCGGCCGCACTCGATCCATGGTCTTGTTCTTCTCCCCCGTTCAATCTCGCCCCCAACCCTGTTCAGCGCGATGGTGTGGGGCAAGTCGGCAAAGCACCCACGAGGCCAGCGGGTCGGCGCGGACCACATCCTCGACGACGAAGACTGCGTCACCATCTTCAAGCGCTAGCCGTGCGTCCGTCGCGCGGGCCGGCCATGCGTAGAGAGCCGTGGCGGCCAGGCGGGAACGAAGTCGCCTTTTCAAGCGCTGAAGGGCGATTCTCCCCGTGCCTGCGCCGGCTCTGGTCGGCCTGATGGAATTCAAGCTGCCGTATTCATTCGTTGTCGCGTCTGGTCTGGTCGTCGGCAGGGTCCGGCTTCCGTGTGTGTGCGTGGAGATAGCGAGGGAGTCGGGAGCGGGAGGGGGAGGCGAGGCCGTCGTGCTCTGATAGAGTCGCGGCCGCGCGCTCACTGACCCTGTCCAAACGAGCTGGCGCCGGCCTCGGTGCCCTTGACTTTTTGGTGGTCCTTGAGGCTGGGGGCGGCCTCGTAGATGATGTTGGTGGGGCCTTCCCTCCTCATCTGCCGGTGCTCGCCCTTGAAGCCGACAAAGTAGATGCGCGAGGTATCGCCGCCGACGCTCGAGGGGACAAAGAGCGAGATGCTCCTGACGTCGGGGAACTTGGCGGGCTTGAGCGGGATCTCGACGGGGTCCCGCGTGACGGGGATCGAGGTGAGCTTCTGCGCCGGCCGGCCCTGTCCGCCCGCCGCCGCCGTGGCCGTGTCGGGGAGGGCCGAGAGTTCGTTAGCGGCGTCAAAGTCGAGGTCGTCGCGGTTGACGTAGAGGTGGATCTCGGAGGGCGTCTGGTCCGCCGGTCCCGTCTTGAGCATCATGGAGCGCAGCTTGACGGATCCCGTAAAGGGGATGTAGAGGATGAGCTGGTCGTCGGCCGACGACTCGAGGTACTCGTCCTCCGAGGCTCGCTGGTCGTAGGGCTTGAGCACCTTGACGCCCGAACCCTGCAAGTCGGTGGCGGGCGGTAGGGTGCAGTCGGCGGGGATCAGCATGGGCTGTGATCGGCAAGTACGAGCAGAGATGGGACTTACGGGTGTCTCTTCGTTGAGCGCGATGACGCCGTCGCGGTTGATGCAGCTGTAGAGCAGGTCTTGCTGGCCCTGTCAGTCGGCCAAGGTCCGAGACCGAGGACGGCAGGCGGCAGCGTGAGCATGATGTCCTGAGGCTACCACAGATGGCCCTCGCCAGTCTAGCCTGCAGACAATGCCAGCCGCGACGGATGCCCACTCACCTCGCCCGGCTTGACATGGTCATCGTCGTCGTGGGCGTGTCCGCACGATCCGTCGTGGCAGTGCGACATGATTGATGCCGGCCGTATGCTGTGAGTGCCGTTGAGAGGAGTGGGTCGCGGCTACGATGGCCGAGTTGGAGCAGATTGCAGTGCCAGAAGAGAGGCTGTTGCGGCTCTGACGCTCCCTGATGGTGTCGGTGGCGGTGGTGGCCAAGTGGCAAGCTGCTGAGGCTGCGTGCGGGTTTGGGTGTTGCTCTTGCTTCGCCCGCTCCGACGCCCGCCTGCAGAAAGGGGGGAAAAGGCAAACGAGGGCTGTGGAGGCGCTCGGCCCCGTCCTCGTCCGCCGCTTCACTCTCTCGCGCTCGGCCTAAGAAGCGAAACAGAGACCAGCGCGATTCCGGCATCCTGTCGTTCCTCTGCCGCGCCTTTGCTTCGAGGAGCCAGACGCAGCAGGCGCAAGGCATCGAGGCCAGTGAAGATCGAGGAACAGCAAGCGGGCTTCTAGATTCGCGTCTTGTATTCACATGGCAAGCAGATGATGGGTAGAGGAAGCGACAGGGGGAGGCAGGGGTGACAGGCAGGCAGTGAGACGAAAAGGAGGGAGATGGGCAACGGCCGAGGCAGAGCACCGACAGCCACATCTCGGCCGGCCCTGCCGCCGCTCCAGGTCACCTATCGTCGCCGCCGGACGATGATATCGAGGCGCAGAGGGCCTTTTCGCAGAGTGTCCAGCCGACGACCGCAGCAGCAGGAGCAGCACCATGATTTTGAAGGAAAGGGAAGAAGGGGGCCGGGTTTGATACCGAGCAGCAACAGTCTAAGAGGAGTCCATGCACGCGGAAGCGGATCGGGGGCGCGCGTGCGCCGCTGTCGAGGCACGCTCGCTCTACGACGTGCTGCTGCCTCTCCGCGAGTGGTCGACCGACGACGCCGCCGAGCT